CCTAAAACCACATTTGAAATGGAAAAATATACTGGATATTGTTTTAAGGTTATTTTATAGACTTAAATGTTCTTGGGGAAAAGAAAAGGAACTTGCAGGGCTGCAGGTCAGCCAGGGTGTGTGTGCAGGGAGCAAGTACCCAAACCAGCCCTTTCTCAAGGCCCTACATCTTAAGCAACTCTCTCCAAAGCCTCCTTTTGCAGAGCAGAAAGGTAAGACAGGCCTCTCCTGAGCCATGGATTTCAACATCTGCTTAACTTTGCACACAGCTGCAGCCACCAATTCAGACATTTCACCAGTGCTATCCCACACCCCTGCTCCTTTTCTTTTCTGAAGTTCCTGACTTCTCAACTCCTTCTGAACTCCTAGTTCAACCATCTTCTCTTAAAAAGATGGCACACACTGCACAGCACATCTGCTGCACTTCAACAAGCTCCTGCAGAAGTAACACTACGGAAAACACCAGTTTTCATATCAACTCTGGCTGAACATCACAGGGGTGTTACAAAAAGCACAGCAGAGCCTGAACCTTCCTTAGCCAAGTGCCTCTGAATGGAGGATCAAGGTGGCATAGAGACAGAAGAGCTCTCCCAGCTGGCACAGGGGATCACTGGCTGCATGCAGACCTGGGCTGGCTGCTCCTTGCAGGACAAGATCTAACCCAATGCCATGGGTGAAACCCAGCTCTGTGCAAAGAACCCAACATAAAAGCCACCACCCTGGCAAGGCAGAGGAGGGCAGTGCATTACAGTCGTGCAAGACTTCACTATGGGGCATGAATTTCACTCACAGTAAATTAAATGCCAACTCCAGGGATGAAGTTATTAGTATTTGCCAGTGGAAACTGGTGACAGAGGAGGAATGAACAGAACACACCATGAGCATGTATTTATAAAGAGGAAAAAAAGGGGCAAACTGCCTTTGTTTTGCCATTACACAGTAAATGTTACCAGTTTTCTCCTTGTATCCTTCTACAGTTGCTTACCTTTGGCACAAGGAATTCTAAGTATCACAAGGTTTCATTAATAATAATACTTCATCTCAACACTCAGCACTTACACAGCGCTTCTCAGATTCAAAGTGCTTTACAAAAGTCTGTGAGTCCTCACAACACCCCTGTGAGGTAGGTAAGTATTATTATCCCCATTTTACAGATGGGGAAACTGAGGCAGAGAGGTAAAGTGACTTGCCCAAGGCTATATAGGGCGTTGAAACTCATGATGTAGTGGCCCAATTCTAGTCTCCCTTATGGTGGTGGAGCACAGATGAACTCCCACTGGTGTAAGCAAATCCAACCCAAGTTTCTCTGGCTCCCAATCCTCCACTCCAATCAACTGACCATTCCTACTTCACCTAAACCATCCTTTGCCTTCCAAAACACTACAGGAAGTCCACAGACAGCAGGAACAAGTCTGCAGCCTTAAGGCAACACGTACATTAACAGCTCCACAACTCTGCAGCGAGTTGGACTCCGCACAGACATATTTCTGCCACACTGCAACAGTCTTAAGACAACTCATGCGGTCTCCAGCTCTGCAATGTATCAGCTTTGAGGCCAATTCTCTTCTCCCTCAAGCTAGAAGAAATCCAGAGCAAAACAACAGGGCTGTACCAGTGTAGAACTATCACAAGATCTGAACCAGACCTTTCACCTGCTGCTTTGCAGGCAAGTCTTTTCCTTTTGGACAGCTTCGGCATGGTTCATTTCACTCTCGCTCTCTCCAAGTGTGTATCTCTGCGTATGAACTTTCAACATTTCCAGCTCACCAGCACCAGCATTTAAACGTCTTTCTAAGACCCATCAATATTTCCAGAAAAGTGTCAATGCATGCAAATTATCACATACAAAAACATCAAGAGTGCTGGGAGATGATACCAAGGATAGAGGTGATCACAAGACAGCACACATTTAGTTTTTATTTAAATTACCAAACAACTCACTCTGACTGTAACTATACCACTTAGATTATCATTCTAACCTGCAGAAGTACAGGTGCTTGTCCTCCAACTATTTACCTACCTACTTGGAAAGAAAGAGAAATAGCAAGCACACACATTTATACTTCCTCAAACTCGGCAAGCATGATCCATGTGAATGGGAAAGGAGGGTTTGGGAGGTGGGTGAGATTGTACACTGGGTTTAGGGCAGTGGAGTTAAGAAAGAAGTAGAAAATACCACATGCATCATTGCCATCAGTAATCAATCTGATGAAAATATACCCCAAAATTAGATGGATTCATGTATGACATCCCAAACCCTAAGCACACTAAAGCTGGCAAACACCTTGTGCCACTTCCCCTGTGTCCAGACACAGCATCAGTAAATAACATCAAACCAACCTTGTAAAGAAAGCAAAAGGAAGAATAAACCAGCCTGGAGACAACAATCTTCCACAAACCACTTCCCTGCATTATTTGCAAACACATTTTACTCTTAAGCAGTGTCAGAAAGGAGTGGGGCAGAAATAGACCCACTACTGGTTATTTTTACACTGGCTCAGCACCAGCACCAACTCAGAGAGAGGGAGAGAAAAAGAATTCTTCAAACATGATCCTTGGTACTTGATTAAAACATTGCCAGCCAGCTGATGGAACCCTGAATTGCCAAAGGGTTCGAAGTGGAGTGGATACACGGTGCTGCTCACAGTCCTCTTCATCTGCTATGATATCTGCTCTGTGGGCCTCATCTGTATATCTCCAATCTAGAAGAGACCAACACAGGATTTTATTGGAGCACTGAAGTTTCATTTTATATCCTGCACTGGGCACTTCCATGCTGCAGCATTACAGTGGCAAGCTGCACATGAAGAATGTTCCTGTGACTAGAAACGAGCTTGCTTAACTAAGGTATTAGGAAGGAATGAAGGTGAATGTGACTGCTCTGCCTTTAGCAGAAGGGATAAAAGCATAAATATGGACAGAAAAGGTGCAAAATGACACTAATTATAAACTCAAGGCTTTACTTTAGTCCTGCTCACAGTGGGTCAAGCAGAAGCACTGCTTGATCAGCCACGGCCTGGACTTCTAATGTTAAGACAAGACAGCCTGCTATCCCAGTGACCAGCCAGCCATGTCTTGCTCCAAAGGAGCAGAGTTCATGTGAGGGGCTGCTAAACCTCTCGTGATCAAAGTTTGCTTTTGCAACAGGAACTTCTGACATATACTAAACTTTGACACTGCTCCTGCCTTCAGCCCAAAGCTGGTCACTTATTTCTTGTTTCACAGGAGGGAAGTCCCTTTAGCAACACAAGCATCCCACACCGCCCCTGCGGTGGGAACTATCCCTCCCGCTCCTAGTGCCTTGCACAGTCCTTCTCCAGGGTCAGAGCAGCCTTTGCTGGATCCATGGGGCTGTGAGCAGCACCAGCAGTGCAATCCCACAGCTGCCATAAGGGGGGTGTACACAAACGTGGTCACTGCTAATCCCCAGCCCAGGCTCTGCTAAGCACAGCTGATAGCTCTGTGCTTATCAGGTTGCAGCTGATGAGCAAAAGTCAGGGCAGCAGCTACCCACAGCAGAGTCCTCCAACCCAGCCCACCCTACCTGTACATGAGGTGGGGCACTGAGGACATATATGACAGCATTAGCCATATCTTCAGCTTTGAGACACTGCAAAGACACCAAAGAGATTCTCAGTCAAAGGGCACCTCAGAAAGTTAACCACAATATCACTCCTTTCCTAACACCAATAATGAGTTTCGACAGTGTCACTGGGGCATGTCAGAAAGGTGCAGGCAAGCAGGAAAAGAGTAATTCATTAAAAATTAATCAAAGGACATGTCTGGTGCTGGTAATTCTCCATTTGCTGTGAATAATCTTATTCTACTGGCACAATAATTCTGCCAGGTCAGGCACTACCACCCTTATCAAAAATGCCCAGAGAAGCATAGGGAATCCTGTGCTAGCCACCTGCACAACACCACGGTCTCTCATCTCTTCTTGTGCAGGCATGCTTGCATATTATATCTCCTCTTCAATAAGGTCATAGCCTGCAAAACACCAGAGCTGACTGATACTTATTTATAGGGACATCAGTATAAAAGGAAAAAATATAGGGAGTTGAAAACTGAGCCCAAGCCAAAGTCTCCAGAGTGTGCAAATATCAGTGCAAAATCTGAGCTCTGAGTGCTGAGACTTTGGGGATGCTGTTAACATCCTGGAAAGCACTGGGCACTCTGCAAGAGCTTGTTCCCTGTGCTATTAGCCAGGAGAGAGACTGTTAAACTATAATCAGAGCCACTTCCCTCTGTTTCCATTCTTCCATGTCCTACCCGAATGCTCTCATAGGTTGCAGCAGCTCTCTCGGGGTCATTGTCATGAAGTTTAAAAGCAAATCCTGTTTCCACCAGTCCTGGGGAGATACACTGGAAAAAAGCAGAGCATATCCTAATAGGATTTGTCATTCCCCTTCAGTAAAAGAATAAGGAAAAAAAAAAAGAAACAGAGAAAACTTTTTAGCACTGAAAAAGCAAAACCAAACCAAAAGCCATCCCCCTTTCTATTGTTCTCCTTCCCCACCCTCCTTTTTCTAGGGGAGTAGTTTCAGTGAGCAGGATTTGCTTCAGTGATTGTTGTGGCAGGTAACTACTAACAGGCACTTCCCTCTTCATGTCCCAAAGGGACAGAGAAGCAGAGGAAAATGATGGAAAAGCTTGCAACATAAATTAAGTTCTGGACACATCGCTCCTGAGATGCAAGCTGTGAACAAGAGCAAACAGCCCAGCTGATTGCCTCCCTTCCACTGCCATGAGCCTCCCTTGCTCTCCAATAAGCAACTGCCCACTTTGTGCACCCAAAAAGCTTATTCCCTCTGCCCTGCCTTTTGCACCTCTGACTCTCTGCTTGTGAAAGAGCGGTGGCCAGGGACAGCTGGCCACAAGACTTGAATGTTCCCAGTGTGCTGAGCACTATTTCCTTGCTGGCTTTCCAAAGGGAAAAACCTCTACCCCATAAAGCTTGCCAGCCTTCTACCACCCACAAAAGCAGGAGAGGAGGAGAGCCCACAATACTCACTGTAGCTCGTATATGAGTCTTTGCTTCTCTGAGTTCTTGCCTCAGCCCCTCCGTGAGGGCTGTAACTGCATATTTGGTGGCACTGTAGAAATGCACCACTGACTGTGGCACAACACTGTGGCCATTCATGCTGAGGAGAGAGCAGAAAGGAAAGCGCTGAGAGGTGGGAGGCAAACAGAGTACCAAGAAGGAACCAAGAGGACATTCAAACCACTGTAATGAACACAGAAAGAGAAGCTGACGCGGTGGGTACATGAGGAATTCCCTGCTCCTGCAGGAAACACACCCCACCAGAGGCTCCTCTCCACATGGCTGTTTGCTGGAGCTGGTCAGGAAGTTCCAGCCTTGCACCATCACAAGTGGTTGGCATTACCCTTTTCTCCCTGGTTTGGTCTTTCTGGCATTTAGACCAACAGAGGTTAAAAATAGTGGTTTGAAAAATCAACCATCACAATCCTCAGAAAACCTGTCATTGGGCACCATCTGTTCACTTCAGGGTTAAAGCTCCACTGCTTAAATCCTCTCTCTGAGACAGGAAGGAGGAAACCCACATGGCTGAACCCACATTCCCCCCTTACATACCTGTTAATGTTAATAATATGCCCATCATCAATGTTTCTCTCTTTCATGGACTGGTAGGCCTCTCGGGTGCAGATGCTTACAGCCATCACGTTGACCTGAGGGATGAGAAAAGAAGAAACTAAGGCCACAGGCCTGCCTGGCACCTTCTGACTTCCCACACACAACTGAAGCCAAGGATGCAGGTTCCAGTCCTCACCCCACCCCAATTCCCACAAACACCAACAGAGGAAAATGCACACACACACACCCCACACACCCCCCACAGCACTGCCACCAAGCTGGGGCTCAGCCACAAGGGGTCTGGGCCACAGATACCCAGTTTGTGAGACAGCCTTGGCCAAACTAGTGGATTGCTGAAGCTCTCCAGAAAGGATGCAGCCATTTCAAAGCAGGTCCTACCTAATGGTACATCACTTTGGTAACTGAATGAGCAGGCCAGGCAGGTCTAAAAACACCACTTGAACTAAATACCCAGGAAGAGCTACATTTCTGATGAGTCACAAGTCAGGTGCAACTATAAACGGGAGGAGCAGCAGGAACAAGGCCGTATGGCAGTGAGCAAAGGATATGAGAGAGGGCTGACTATCATCATGGTGAAGCTTATAAACAAGAGTGGGGTAGGCTAACCAGGACTTGCTAGCACAAAAGGATGTCCACCTTAGTTTGGAGACCAGAAAGCAAGAGGCAAAAGGGGAGCGATTTGAAAGATGTAGTTACTGAGCAGTACACAGAAGACCAATGGGATCAGCTAAAGGATCCTCTGGTAACTAATTGTGCCTCAGACATTATTTCCTCTTGATTACTAGAGGCCCTGCCTGTGAGCTTTTGTCTTGGCGGCAGATAAATGCATGCTTATCTGATCCTGGGAATACCCAGGCAACAAGCAGAGTCATCCTCCTCATCCAAGTGCACTTTGGTTAAGCACACAGTCACTGCCAGGTATGTGAGTCATCATACCTAGAGCTGCAGATAAATTCCCTGGCATTAGGTTGAAGATTTACCTTGACTGTGCAAGGAAGAGTTAGCAGACATGTCACCTCAACACCGGAGCGAAGCCCAGAGCAGGGAGAGCATCTGAAGGCTTTTGGATTTCACAGTAAGGTGGTCAAGGAAAGCAAGAATAATGTGCTCCAGCCCGATACACTAACCAAGTGAGGAGCCAGTCCTTCCAGATACGGATCTGGGCAACTGTCAGTATAAAAAGCCTCCATGACAAGCAACATCCCTGCTTTCCTCCCTGCCCCAAGACACCCTGGACCTATCAGGCATCGCATCTTTGGTAGTCAATTCCCAATTCCACTCCATCTCCAGAGGCCACTAGAGGGTAACATCATCCTAAAGCCTGAGCCCCGGCTCCACCGCTGCACTGAGCAAAGCTTCCTTGTGTGGGAAGAGTTACAACATTGTGACAACTCCTGGCAAAGCAAGACACTAATAACATGGGAAAGTCCGGAGCCTGTATCCTAAGACACCTGGGACAACAAAACAAGTGGCTGAAGGCAGCTGAGCTGGCAATGCCTCCCTGCCTTTTCCTGACAGCACCCACTGGATTTTTAGGTGAAATCCTATTTCAAAATGTGGAACAGGCAATCAAGAACCTAACGAAACCTGCCTGGAATAATGAGCAAGCCTTAGGGCTGAATCACTTTGAGAAACAATCTAAAGGCTGTTGTCACAAATACCCACACAAGATGGTTTTCAGCCTTGTTCCTATTTTAAGAACAAAAGGTTCAAAGGTCCCTCAGCAAAGATGGCCAACACATCAGTGCTCTGTCTCTGCACAGCATGCTGCAGGTCTGTGACCACCACATGTGTGTGCTAATGCAACAGAAACAACAGCAGCACAGTTTCTAGTCATTAATGAGTTCCAATTGCCAGGTTGGGAGAACATAAAAGATCCTGTTCCTGGAAGGGCTGAGCACTTCTCAGAATCAGCCTTTTCTATAAAGCTTCAAAATGAGTATCCCAGCTCCTAAGCACATAGAAAAACACAGGTTACAGAACACTTATATACCATCTGTGCTGAGATATAATCAAGAACAACAGAGCCTCGCTGCTCAATGAATAATGCCAAGAAGAATCAGCCCCATTTAGCATCTAGAGGATGTGTGCTGCAGTCCTTTGTGCCCTGAGCAGTGCAGATGGAAAGTTCAGCTTGAATTCCTGGCTGTAAAGGTCAGTAGGTAAAACGTGAAGGAGCTGTTCAAATCCCAAAGCCTGGAGTCAGTGTGTACACAGCACTCGGCCCCAGCAACTCCTGCAGGCTGGGAATGGCTGGAGGACTTTGGCCCAGCCTCGTGTCAAGCACAACCTCATAACCAAGAGGAGAGAGAAGGGGGGAAGCTGTGAGCCAGAGGATGATGGGCTCAGAACCTGCCTGGGATAACACACACACACCAGATTTGCTGGGCTCTGTGCTGCTGTAAAGCAATGGAGACACTGTTCCTAACACAAGACTGCTGCAGCTTGGGGAGAAGCAGCTTCCCCTTTGGGAATAAATATCAGGCAATAAGGAATGGCACATTTAAAAAAGGAGTAAGTAAGTAACAACATGATTTTGACGGTTAGATGCATAACAAGAAATTTTATGGAATGGGTATACTAAAGAGGGGAGCCTGGAAGGAGCCTCAAAGCTCATAAAAAATGAATGGAAGCAAAAATCAATTTACCAAAAAGAAAAATACACCTTTAATTTAAGGCCCTAATGCCTCCCAAATCGATAGATCCATGGCTGTTGAGAAACTTCTCATCTTGCAGCCCAGCAGCACACTGAAACTCTCCAGCAGCATCTCAGGCCATGCTGTTCTCTAACACCCTTCTCCAAGGGACCTTTGGAAGAAGCCTCCCTGCTCCCGCCCAGCTCTGCAAAGCCCAGTGATCCATGAAACGTGCTGGCAACCTTCCCCCATCCTGACCCTCTGAAGGCTTCAGAGCATGTAGGAGAAAGGGGTGAGTGTTTCCTTGGGGCTGGTGTGCCACAGCGGGGAGAGCTGTCACTGCAGATCCCTCCCCAGCCGCTGCTGCCACAGCATGAGAGAGACCGCCACACTGGGAGGCTGCAGCCACAAAACAGGGACACACAGCAGAAGGAAAACCCCAGTTTTACTCCTTATCAGCAGGGTAAAAAGCAAAGCCCAGGCTTGTCAGGCTGCTTAGGCTGAGCTGGGTAAAGTGTTTGGCTCCCAGGGCTTCACTTCTGCGTAAAGGTGTGAGTGTTACTCAATCACACACAAGTCAAGAGCAGCTGCTGGGAAGCTGGTGAGAGGACAAAATCTGCCAGTGTAAGATGAAAGTTTGGGTGTCTCAGTCTGTTCCCAGTGTTACAACAGCACTTTTGCCAAGCAATGAGCGCAGATATAGCCATACAGATCACCTCTAGGAATAAAACATGCCCCCAGCCTGGTCTCCTAATGCTGCCCTTGCAGAGCCATCACCTTTCCTCTCCTCCCGCCCCATCCATCACCCTGAAGCAGCTCCAAAGGGTGCACAGAGCAGCACCCGCAACGAGGGGGACCCCACAGGCTCTGGGCTACTGTAAATACCAATGCTGGAGTGTCTCATACAGGACAATCCGTATTCCAAAATCTTTCTCCCTAAAAAGTGGTGGAAGGTAGGATAAAGGAAGCAATCCCATCTGAGCAGCCAGGGAAGGGAGCACAGAGAGGGGAAGGGCCTTCAGCTGGCAAAAGCCACGTCTCCCCACTGCCTCCCCACCTTACAGAAAACAAAAGGTCAGAAGAACAAAGACAAACCAGTGCAAGGGACATCCACAGAGGCCTCCACAAAAGATGCAATCACAGTGATCAGCACAAGGATTTTACAAGGCGCAGGCGACCCACAGGGCCAGGCTGGCAGCCAGACAAGGCTGGGGAATGCCCTGCTTTACACCAGCTCAGCCTCAGCTACACTTCATTTTCTTTAAGGACTCCATGGCAACCGGGACTGGGAGATGCGGCTGTGCAGTGACCCAGGCTGGGCAGACAAAGCTGAGCTGAGCTTGCTTTGGCTGCAGTCACAGCAACCAGCAGACTGGCCAAAACCCTAACAAGAGCTTAATTAGCCAGGATACAGCAGCTCTTGCCCTGGCAGCAGGAGTCTGAGGCCTCAACAAGCTTCTCTTCTTTCCACAGCCCCTGACACTACTCCTGATGCACAGCCACCGGGTGCCACAGGAGCCAACAGACCCTGGTTGACTCCACTGTCAGACATAGTGGACCCGAGGTACAGCTTTATAGCTTTTCAAATAGACATGTCTTTTCCTTCACTAGCACAAGCTCTCCCAGCTGCTGGAGGGGCTACAAGGCTTACTCAAGGTTTATTCAAGGCCATGTTTCAGCATCTCACTGGCCAGAGCTGCACGATGGCCACTAAAAGAAGGCTGCTCCAAGGGCATGCAAACTGCCTGCCACCGCTATGTGCAGAAAGGACCATCACATAATGATAAAAGATGGTGAAACCCCAAAAGATGCAGAGCAGCACCTCAGGGCAGCAAGACCCAGGGAGAAACTCTGCTGGTACATGGCAAACTCCCAGTTCAGCACAGGAAATTACCTCATTCACATCCAGCTCTAACTAGATTATGGGCAGAAAATTAAGCTATGAAGACAAAAAGCATTATAGCTTTTTAAGCCAAGAAGAATCTGCCCATTTTACAACCCACTGCTATAACTAACAGGATTAGCTACAAAAGCCAGTGCTTGGCATTCAATTCCCTATTTTATTGAAGCAAGAAGTGTGAGGCTCATCACCCTTTAGAAAGCCACTGACCTACAGGGGAAAAATGCTACTGAAGGTATTGAGTGTTTTCATACTTCAAGGTGAAGGCATGTGGCTCAGCAGTGCATTATGTCCTCAGCTTTACATACATGCAATTAATAGATTGGGACGATGATGCTGATGGCCAGAAGAAAACAGAACCTAGCACAGTTCCCACTCTGTGTGGCACTACTCACATCTATCATCGTCCGCCAGCCCTCTGTCTTCCCCGAGAGCAGGGGCTCTGGGCGAGCCAGCCCCGCGTTGTTGATGCACACATCAACTCCTTGGTGAAGGGTCTTGATGGCAGAGAACATCGACAGGATCTCCTCTTCGTTGGAGAGATCACACTTGTACGGGATGAGGGTTCCAGGATAGCCAGCACTCTGGCATTCAGCTGCTAATTTCTAGAGAAGAGAAAGGGAGGAATAAAACAGCCATCAGGCTCCTCTCCTCCTGGAGCAGCTTATCCAGCCATTTGCTTAGAAACACACCTTAGGGACAACAAAAACCAGCAGGCTTCTGGTGAGCCTGTCTTAAAAGCAGGCAATGGGGAAGTCATTGTAAATGCTCACTAAGAAAAAAGAAATATCCGTATTCATGAGAGTCTGAGCACTTCAGCACTGAAGTTATTAAACTTGAGGACACGCTGCTCATCCATCACCCCAGGCAATACAGGTTAAGGAGAGGTGTTGGCAAAATACAAATAAATACTGCCATGGCACGGGGCTGCCACACTGCTGTGTGGATAAAGGATGTGGCTATAACATGCCTGACAATGTTACCAACCATTATTCCAAACACCCACATCTTTTATCAGCGTAGGTGATATAAAGCAAGTGAAAGGCCACGAGCCGTGTTAATGATGCAGCAGCCACCACACCAAATCCTCTGGAGGATGCCCTTTACCCCCCGATGCTAATGAGAAGCAGCATCTCATCTCTGGTGTGTGGTGTTAGTGGCAGTGACAGTGACAGCTTCCAGGGCGAGGAGAGCCACATGATGTCTGGTTTCTGTGCAGACGGACCCCGGCTATAAACATCCACCAAATCACTCGAACGCCGTTGCCCGCGGCGGCTCCGCCAACGTCACATCTCAGCGGGTGCAATGAAGCTCTCCCCGGCCAGAGGCAGCTTTCCCACTCCTCCCCACATACCAAGGACTGCAGTTCCCAGCTGTTTATGAAAGGAGGAGTGAGGCCCAGCACAGAAGTCGCCCAGCTGGAAGCAGAGGACACAGGACAGACTGGACATGAAGGCAGCTGTTAAAGTAGTGTCTATCCTGGAGCTCACCGAGCCATGGGTGAAACAGGGATGCAGGGAAGCCAGGGCACCAACCACAGCACCTGGGAGCACCCGAAACTCTCCTGGGAAGCTCGCACCAGAGGGATGCTGACATTCTTTTTTATTGCTATGAGGTGCAGCATCACCTCCCAGATCAGTGGCTTCTTCGGCGACTAAGCGAAGTTCTACGCAGAGCAGAGCTGAGCATCCTCACTGCGAGAGGGACAGACAAGCCAGGACTTCCAAACCCCTCTCTGCACCCCAAGCACATTCATCTTACTCTGGGGCAAGTAGCTCTGTTGGTAAATCATTTTCAACCTTTCTCAATACCTAAGACTACAGAGGTGGCCCCAGTCCCTTAACAGTGAGTTTAAGCTTTTCTCATTTGCCTTTCACAGCAATCCACAGCTCTCACAGACCACAATCCAAATCCAGCCCAGGCCTAAGGGTCTGTTGCAGAAGCTGCTCTCCTGTCTGGGTACTGCTTTGGTGGAGGCACTGCAGTAACATAAGAATTATTAATGCTCTCCCAGCACCATGCAGGAAGCGGACAGACGTGCTGAGTCCAGCCGAGGGATCGATACCTCCCAACAGCATCACGCTCTCTGGAGAGCTCTGCTTGGGCTGAGCTAGACAATATTCCTGCTCGACAGAGAACAAAGGTGCTTCTGGGGCTGAATCGTACCTCTCTGTTATCTCCTGGGGCTGGTTCTACTTTGCTATACTTGTAATCTTGTTGATTATGTGCTGGTAATAGTAGAAATACATGTACTTTTTAAAGATCAGAGTACCCACTTGAGAAAACAGTTGGAGGAAGAATCTGCAAGAGCAGCATTTAGAAAATTAAAAGCACTATGAAGGTGCTAAATCACTCCAGGGATGGGCCTTGCTCCTGCAAATACAGTGGAAGGAAAAATGGACAAAGGGCTCTCGGCCACATCTCAAGATGTGGCACTAAGCTGACAGCTTCAAAGCTCTCTTCATCCCACTGCCCAAACTTGAGCACTCCGCTACAGGATCCATTCCACGCAGTATTTGCTTGTAAAGTACCACAGCTCATGTCTGGCACTTCTTCCTAGGTCACTAGGTGATGGCCAGAAGTATGACCTTGATTTGCTCTTGGAAGAGGGCTGGTGTCCTCTCCTGAAAAATCAAATCTCTCTCAAGCTCCTTTTCCCGACTCGTGTCTCGCTGCCTCAAACAAGGCTCAACACGGATCCTTTCATCTCTTAGACTACACTTGTGTTAACAAATTCTCTTTGAAAATGAAGTGCCAAACACCACTGACATCCAGGCAGAGCTGAACGTGCTTCAACCAGCTATAGATAAAGAGTCATCACAGGCTCTTCAAAGAAACATCAACTGCGGGCAAGTTTGCAAGAGATGACTTATGTAAAGCAACTCTCTGAATTAGGAAGCTTGCAACATTCTTTCAGAGCACCCATTAAATCACTCAAAGCTCATTCCACTTTAAGCACATGCACAAGGAGGGGAAGGAAAAAAAGCTGTTTTCCAGATTTCATAAGCAACTTGAGAGTGACCATACAACACAGCACCAATACAGATGATGGCCAGTGCCAACTGGAGACGAAGTTCTGGAACAAGACCTGAGCATCTCTGTACCAAACTGCTGTCACTGGATGCTTGGAAATGGACAGCCAGGTGCTAGATCTACTAGTACAAACTGGGACAATGCCACATTAAGAAGAAACAGATACCCTGTATGTTAAAACATTAAACCTAGAGCCATCCCCTGCCATGGATGGAAGCCCTCATCCTGCAGCTCTGATATACCCAGCACGAGGACAGTACCCATCAAACCAGTTCTCCCAAGAAGGAGTTAATGCTCTTGATGCACACAATGCTTGGAAAGGGCACAGTGCCATGCATTTAGATTCAGTCTTGGCTAAATGGTTTAACAAAACTAATTGATATAAAAATTTAAAAGGACTCTTTAGGGGAAGGGGGAGAAGAAAAAAAAAAAAGAGTCATGTAGGGCTTTATTTGGGAAATGATCCCATTAACTTCAGACACATTTAGTTCAGAGAGATTAAAGCAGAAGAAGCCATTAGGTAATTTTTAATCTAACCTGCCATTCATCACAGGTGTTTGCATCCTACTGATTTAGCTTATGCTTAAATACACAGCTGGACCAAGAAACCAACTGGAAAGAAACCAAAGTCACCCAATTACTTTTGCTATCTAAAGGAAATGAAGGAGAAAAATCATAATGAGCAGCATCACAGTTGTGAAAGAAAACTGGGGGCTTCAAAATCCTTTCATTGTACTGATTGGCAAGTTTGAAGCTCCTTTTAATTAAGATTTAATACCAGTGAAACAGCATAATAGAGAAAGAGATAAATAGTGAATAAAGCACAAGACTGGGTTTATTCCCATAGTGTGCTCTGTGACTATAGGCAAGATTTAGAGCTGATTCGCCAACTGTAAATGGGGATAATCACACTGAACCCCCTCCTAGAGCTGCTGGGTACCCAGGGCTTTTTGCCTACACCTGATCCAAGGATGAATGTTGTTTCACATTTCTCCCAGTTCCTTTTGCCTGGATCCACGTGCCCAGACAGAGCCCCTGTGGGAGTCTAAAAGGAGTTTTCAAATGAATAAAACAGTGAAGTGATTCTCCTTCCCTCTCCCGAGCTTTAAAATGACACTTCTCGATGATTGTTTCCTGATCCCACTCCTCAGCTCAGATCCGTGTCTGTTCCAGGACAACGGGCAGAACTGGGATGGGAAAGCTTGAAAAATAAGGTTTAAATGGAAAAGCAAATGTGCAGTACTTAGCTGGGGGTACCAATCCCAAAACCTAGCACTGACAAAGAAGGAAAAGCACCAGTTTCAGACTGTTTACCTGAAGTACATCTCAACTACAAGCTGCCTGGTCAGGGAGACTGAACTTTTCACGCTGCCCCACCACCTCTTGGCACAGGCAAAGGTGAAAGAGTGATGAAAACCTCCAGTGCCCTTGGCACTGAAGCCAGGCTCCCTGCTAAATAGGGGTCTGGTTGAGCATCGCGACATCCTAACACTGCTGATGGTCCTTCAGACTGCTCCAGACTCATGCTGCTTTTTTCCAAGCCCTCTCCATTCCCTTCACCTTTTCAGTAGTTAAACATCCAAGATGATTTTTTATCTAGCTAATTTTAAATTTCCAGTGTCACACACCCAAGGCAAATCTCCCCATTCACACTGCCCTGAACATCCCTGCTACCTTAAGACATTCAAACAATCATTCCTTACGTCAAGGCTGAAGGCACTTGTTTTTTTGCTCAGATCACGTTGCTCCAGGCTGGCATGGGGGAGGAGGAAACACTGCTCCTAAGATGACAGCTCATTAGAGCAATCTCTCTTGCTTATCTGAGGTATGACTATCCCAAAACAAGCATCATAGGTGCCTGCCTGCTCTTCAGCTCCGAACTGCATAAAGCACATTCCCACACAGCCAGGCATGTAGATGCTTTCCTTCCTCAGAAAACTCTTACACTCTTACTAATGAAGCTGCTCTACTGCAGCCACCCATGGTCCTCCTCCAGCTCTGGGCTGCCTCCACAAGCAGGGTTCAAAGACCGTGTGGCTCCAACACACCCAAATGCCTACACGCACAGACCCAACGCGTCGCAGGCTGGATCACTGCCTGCTCTAGCAACTGATTTCCAAGGCAACCTGCAAACACAGCTCTCAGAGGGCAGAGCTGAGCCTGAGCTTCAGCCCGACACCCTCAGATCACAGAATGGTTGGATTGGAAGGGACCTTAAAGCTCATCCAGTTCCAACGCCTGCCACAGGCAAGGACACCTTCCACTAGAGCAGGTTGCTCCAAGCCCCTGTGTCCAACCTGGCCTTGAACACTGCCAGGGATGGGGCAGCCACAGCTTCTCTGGGCACCCTGTGCCAGCGCCTCAGCACCCTCACAAGGAAGAGCTTTTGCCTAAGAGCTCATTTCAATCTCCCCTCTGTCAGGATAAAGCCATTCCCCTTTGTCCTATCAACTACACACCCTTGTAGTGCCCTGGTCCCTTCCAACCCAAACCATTCTGTGATTCTATGATATGGTCAGCCAGGAAACCCCATTAACACTTCCCACATTGAAACTGGCAAGCGAGAGGGTT